CGAGTGGCTTCTGATATAATTTCCAATCCCATTAGTCTGTTTCTGTTTAATCTTTTTCTATATCTTTGAAGTTTTTGAAAATATGCAATCTAGAAACTCGCGATGAAACAATTTGTATTAAAAGTTTAATCAAAATATACATTCCCGGGGTTGGAAAACGTAATGCAGGCCTGTGAGTTTTTCACCTGTTGTTCGGGACAAAATATTCGGTTAGAACTCGTCGCATCCCGTCACGCCGCCGCGGGGTTAAAAGGTGAATATACTGTACAGTCTCCAGCAGAATTAAAAGCGGACCGCGAATTCTACCCCCGACGAGCGCTGCCGAAAGTTCAGCCTTGCATGGCGCATTCGGACGCCGCGATGCGAGAAGCGCATTCGGCATTTCGTATTCCCGCATTTCGCGGCAGATACGCCGGCGGCACACTCCGGACCCGCCGAGAACATCCGATTCTGGTAGTGAATAACATTGCAAGTTACACGGTAATCGCGAAATGCATGCTCCGGTGTATCTAGACGCGCTCCTACTTCTCCTTATCAATCCAATTCTGAAATAGCGGCGCGAAAATATCCGCTGGATATTCCAACAGTTTAATCTCTCGCCGAGCACATTCTGGCAGCATTGGTTCCATTTTGCCAGTGCGAAACGCCCGAATGGACCGTCTACACAGATGAACAGCATTTACGAAAATGAAGAGTCAAACAATACACACGCCGATACGGTCAAATGTATGCATTAGTAACGCTCGCGATTCCGAATATAAAACGACGTACGGCTTAATTCGCCGTTTCACAAATACACACCCCCGTCCGTTTTAATCTTTAGATACGTTATCAGCTGTTCCGTTATTGTACCAATTCCGTACGCGAAACGTTAAGGAAGGGATGAGAAAGATTAATGCGCAGATCGTAAGTTTCAGCCGAGATGTGCAGCCTTCGTGAATTGATATGCTAGCGCGAACGTAATATCCGCAAGCGTTAATATAAAGGGGCAAGTCGAGTTAATTGGGGCTAGAAACGGCTGAAACCGGCGAGCGCGAAGGGGAATGTGAATAACGTATTTCCCACGTGTGTTCAGTAAGGGGAGAGTCCGTACCATAATCTTCCACGTAATCTTCTTACGGTGGAACACGAGCGCGCATTTTTGGAAAGTTCCAATCCGCCCCACATTACACGCAGCGGTTCCTGCAAAGCCAACGATTTAATGGCTCCGCGAGGTTTGCGGTCTCCGTTGGGCGCAGCATTACCTACGAATGCCTTTTTTACCTGCGACACGGCCTGGAATTGTCACACGGGCGGACAATTTTTCGACTTTCTTCCGCGTAAAAAGACGACGGTTCAATTATGAATGGAACAGTGTCTGTAAATGTCGCGCACAGTGGAGACGGAAGCATCCGCGAAACGGACACGCCGAAGTTCAGCGATTTCCGTCGACTCCGCGGGAAAATGTAGCTTTCCCTCGACCGGAGAGAAAAATAACTGCCGCGAGAGGATGGAAAAGCAGAGTACACCTGTCTCTTTCATTTTGCGAACCGGGATGGAATAACGGACAATTCCGGAAATGATTTCACGAACTAAGAACATTGCGAGTTCGCGGGATATTTCTCTCGCGATGCCGCGACTTAAAGCCTACGCGATATGCATAAAAGATTTATGCAAATATCCAATCAAGCCTTAGGTATTCCGACGTACGAATCTACTCGCCAAATGCGACACGGCTCCTTGGAGATGAGATCGTTTGGGATTATTACCTCGTTAATGTTCTAATGACACGTGTATGTGTGTATTCTGTTCTATTATTGTACCTGCTATATCATTTGTTCAAACTACATAAATATTCATCGGGGAGATCTTAGATTTATAATTCGAAACAGATTTTCCATTACATAAATTGCGCGGAACGACGTCATTAAGTCCATAAAGTTGACAATCACTTTCAAACAAGTATTAATTGCTAAATGATTAATTTTTCACTTTAAAAGCGATGGGGACTTTCCGGTCACGTTTTCACATTATCACATTGTCACATTTTAATCGTTTTACCAATTCCTAGCGCTCGAGTCGAATTCGAATGTATCGCGACGAGAAATAACAACATGCAAAACTAAAACATATTACTCCTTCAGAAGAGTTGAGCACTTTTCTATAATGACAGTTCACATTTTATAGACAAAATGAATCAAAATATTATGGATCTCTTAAATTGATTGTAGACTCCACAAAGCATACGATCATTCACTAGTTTCAGTCAGCGTTGCATTAGCTGCGAGAGCACGAAACGATAAAAATGTTCCAGAAACTCAATCATTTGATTCCGTTGGTCTACACATATTAATCGTATGCAACGTTCGCCATCGAAATGCTCCTACGCAAACGCACATGTCGATCCTCATCGCATGCGTCGGTACACCCAACGACGCATGTTAATCACACGCAATGTATGCTAATAAAGCGTAACAAGCCCATCATATATTTAACGCTGAAGCATGCTAAGGATTTAGGCCGCATCCCGAGAATTTGATACGAATCGAATCGTTGCAATTCAACTGGGATCAAAACTGGTTTTGATTCTCGCAGTAAGATACAACGGAGAGCGTGGTATAATAATAAAATAAAATTGAAAATATGATCGTATATGTGGGTCACGTGCAATCGCACAATGCATATATAAAATTACAGCAATTGAAGCAAAGAGAAACATTCTGTAATCATTATGATTTTCTGAAAATGGTATTATTGGGTCAAACAATAATTTGCCTTTATTCTGTACGTGTTGTCGAATATATTTGAGCAGTGGATAATCGAGTCATCGTACGTTAAATTGATGAAAATACCACCCGATAAAATATCAAAAAACTTTTCTGAGAACCTGGTCGCTACAATTAAGCTGAAAGCATCCGCTCGGGTCTGTTAGGAAAATAAAGCAGACACAAGTCATGGAATACGATTAGCTAATTTAACCGTAATGTGATGAAATCGCAAATATGTTTGAACTATAGGTCGTACGATACGAACATACCTCATCCGCGTTCTCCATTAATCGCAAGTTAAAGCATCGCGATATCATTTTTGATTATCAAAAAAGCGGTAATATTTGAGATTATGATTATTTAATTAGATTTTACGGTCTCTTCCTTTCTTTCCTCTGCTCGAAAATTAATCGCGTAAGCGCGTTGGTATGGAAAATGAAAAAAGCGTGTCTGCTGCAAACGGCGTTATCGAAGTGTCGACGTCATTCAATTTAACAGTCTCTCTCCCCCCCTCTCTCTCTCCCTCTCTCGTTAGACTGTACAATTTATTCTACCGTCGTAGAAACAAAGCGAAGCAAGCCATTGTCGCGCAAGCGAAGACGAATCGATTTGGGCAACGTCAACTAGTCAACCGAAAGGACTCGCCCCTTGTCCAAATACTCGATGTGCTAATTACTGTTCTCAAGCCCACATTATCCTCGAAGCTTTATCACGAATCACAATGTGAGAGACACAGTGCTAAAAGCGTATTACGTATCAAATCCATTTTGTAATATAGAGCGCACCGTATTTTAAGTTCCTTACAGTGCGCTAATGCACGATTATTATTTGTCGTTTATGAATTATGAAATTTTACAGATAGGAATTTATATATTGTTATCTCTCTGCTACCACTTCTCTTCAATAATTATTTCCTCTCATCTCGACGAAGCAATTTCTCGTGTCATCATAGAAATCATATTTCTACATTAAATTCTCAACCATGGCATTCGCGGCATGTCGATAACGTTTTCAATTTTACGCTCATTATGCTAAATGAGAATGAAATTTAAGAGCAAAAGCGTCACTCCTGGAAGAAATCAGCACAGCAAAAGTTGAAAGCTCTTAATACCGCCCTCTCCGCGAACGCAATCATTACCGAACTCAATTGGCAATCGTGGCGATGTATCAATTGTCAATTTCGAAAAGAGCATGTGAAGGTCTATGTTCGGAATACATAATGATGCATCGTCTGCCCCTATCGACCGTCTCTTTTTCCATCTCTCTGCAACGACGGATTCAATAATCCGTAATTACGATATAACCTGATAGACTAATCCAATTATTAATTCAAAACGAATTGTCTTTAGATAATAAATGAAACTAATTATCCGATCCGAAAGTGATATCTGCTAACTTCATTAATTTGAAAAAATGAGATTATATTGGGAGATATAGAGAAAGATTAACGTTCTCGTTTTACTAGCTATACGAATTTGATGATACGAAGATATGTTTGAACGTAACTAGGAAACGTAACACAAAGGTATTAGAGATTCAAATTTGAGTAGAAAAATGATAGAATATTGCATAGTAAATTTGAAATATATAATAAGGTATTTCCACTTTTCTCTCTCTCTCCACACGTATGGTAGATACTTATTCCACGCTTTCAGAGCCCAGCATATCAGCTCATTCATTTTGCTGATGACATTTGTGTTAAAAACTTTATATTTCCGGAGTATGAATTTATACTCGCATCCATCCATTCGTTTCGTTTATAAAATTAACAAAGTTAATGATATGTAGAAATTACTCGCACAAATTCGCACATACGAAATGTGAAAACAGATATTTACATTTCAAAGTAAAAAGGAACTAATATGTTTGCATTATTCTTCTGTTACTGTCAGTATGCATGAACAATGTCATGGCTATAGCAGTCATGAAAACATTTCAGTAAACAATATCACATTTCAAATATAATCTTCCAAGTGACGTCGTTAAAAATGTTGAAAGTATTAATAAAGAAGTGAATATACTGCACATCACTTCATGCTTTAATTTTCGATATTGCTACTCTAAGAAGATTTCTACCGAGAGCAAAAATCTTGTGCTTTATGAATTCTCTCATGTAACAAAGACGGAAAAGGGATATTACCGAGATATTAAACGCGATGTTTCTATACGGAAAACTCGTAAAAATCGAGGTATAAAATTTTTCATCACTCCATATTTTTCCCTCGCAGCTACAAGCTCTTTACATGAAACACTAGATGTGCGTATTGTAGGCGCACACGATAATGTTGGCCGGCGTATTCTCGCGGTCGCGATCCCATGATCTCTGTACCGGAAGGGGTCCATTAGTCGGGCAATGATAATGCCAACGGACACCCGGTCACCAGTGACCGAGCAGAGAGCTCGGCTCTACAAATTGTAACGCTTTCGCGTCTTGGCCAGAAGACTGTCTTAGCGATAGCCTCGCTATCAGTGTCGTCGATTCCGCTAAGGCTTTATTGTGAATCATTAGAAATCACTTCGAAATCCACCTGGACCACGTCGATTCACGCCTTGTACTTCCGGATTCGAGGGAATTGCGTATCGGACGCGCGTCGCCACCGCGGATACGTTTCTTCCGGGAAAATTACCGGGAGGCTGATTCCACGCTAACGAGTCACTGATGCCGCTCCTGTCAATAACTGTCTGCAGAACGACGATAACATCGTGACGCAACTACCGAGCGCGATTCTCGCGGCGCAATTGCGCCGGATGGACAGCGGTGCGAATATTACTGCCAAATGGGGAAGCAGTGAGTGATTACGTCGTGGGTGGTGGCGGGAAGCTCCGTGGCGAATTTGTTGATCGGGTTTGCGGCTGCGTAGGTGGAGCGTGTGGACTGTGGTGAAAGGTGTTTATCGGGAAAATAAATCATTCACGCACGCTAGTGGTATCGCGAGCTACTCCCGTAGTAGTGTCACATTCGTCGCACAATATCGGCGTTACTTGGCCGATTGTGTCCCGAGACTCCCTCAGATATCATCATCGGGAGAGTGATAACGATACTCGCGCGCGATGTGAGAATTGACCCACTTCCGACTTGCAGTGCGCTGAAGCGCGTTCGCTTTAGGAGCCGACGAGTTTTCCTCGTGGACATCTGCGAACTTTGTTAATCGCTTGAGTGTATTTGTTACGTAACAAGGATGCGAGAGTGTTCGAGAAGACGTCGGTGTGGCGCGCCTGCGGTCGATTAGCTAATCGATTGACTATTACGCAGTGACATCAAAAGCGATGACTAGTGATCACGCGAGTACGCATCGTCACTTTATTTTGCGTCTTCCATTGAGTATATTACGAGCTAGAAGAAGACACGGTATCCGCCGCATGGCTCGGTAAGCGTAAATTGCTCATCAAGCATTTGGGCGCGTTACCACGCCGCGAGCTTATCACAAGATGGACCTACGCACTAATCTGAAAATTCGACAGCAACAGGCATAAATTCGGAGTCGAGTTTTCCTTAACAAACATTTTATCGTTACAAAACGAAATAGAATTTATTTTTTTGGATTAGCATAAAAGCCATATAATGAAAATTCATGACAATAAAATATTAACACATTTAAATATAAATGTGCTACTAATGTTTTTGACCCACATCGCAATTTTAGCCATTTCAATGGAGGCTAAATTCATATTTTTAAATCAAATGGAAACGAGAACGCTGAATCATTATTTAGGTCCGAGCAAGATAAAGGCAGTTCCAACAATTTAAATTTAATATGTGAATACATATACCGTTTTTAAATTATTGGGCTACCTTTGTCTTGCTCGGATCTAAGTAACGATTTGGCGTCCTCCTTTCCATCTGATTTATATTATATAGGTCCTGAGCTAACTTTACTTGTTCATATTTTTATTATAAAATTATTCTTGCCTGGAATTGTAATTTTGTAATAAAAAAAATGAATTTTTAATATGTTCAAAAGAGAAAGATACATTCTTTTTAGCGCTTACTTTTGCAAAGCGTTCATATATAAATTAACAAACGTTGAATATAAATATATGAACAAAATGCAAGAGTGACTTGTGTTTTTCGACATGCTACATTTTTAGTGGCATTATTATGAAGATGTTAACAGCATTGTAACGTTGCATATAGCTCCACTAACGGATACTAAAATGTAATGTTACTACAGTTATTAACGATTCTGCGTAGAAGTTTCGCGCAGTTATCGTAACTGCCAATAAGTTGACGTTTATTACGCATATACATGAATATTTTCGTATTATAAGTTTGCAGCACACCAGTGCGATCAAAATACCGCTCGTATACAGCATTATTGCTTCGTGCCAGAATATGCATGCTATTCTGCGCTAGCAATAATTCCAGTGAATTTCCATCTTCCATTTCTATATAAACTACATAGTTATTGGATAAATATTAAACTGAAGGGGGGCAAATATTGCACGATATTTGAGAAGTGTTATTGCGACGTCGTATTTTCTGTAAATGTATTGACCAACGAGTATTATAATAGATTTGTAAAGAGGCACGTTACGTTTGAGAAAAAAGAAATTGTTGAATCGACATTATTACCTCCGTAACAAAGTAACAACATTTATGACATTAATAATAGATAGGTTGGAAATATTTCATTTGCGTTACATTTAAAAATCAATCTTGCGCAAGCTACATATCTCTCTTTGATTTACCGAGCTTCCGTTTACTTGCAGACTCGGTGTACTAGTACACCGTGGCAGAGCGAACAATGGATATGAGAAGAGCAGAGGCTAAGTAGCAGGCTGCAGGTACAGAAACGGAGACGGCGCGAGGGGAAGATTGGAAAGAGGCGTGCGGCCGACAGAAAGCAAGAGTGAACGCCAGGGGGATAGACACGGAGGGCGAAAGCAAGGCACGGGAGGTTCGGCCATTGTGACAAAGTCGCGGGGGTGAAGCGTGGAGTCGCACGAAAAATGAGGGAGCAAGCCTTGTCGGATGTGTGGCGGCTGGTGTGGTTGCTCTGCCTCATTCTGGCGACGAGCTTAGCGCAAACGTCGAGCGTCTGTCCGTCCCACAGCGAGATCGCGCCCTGTTACTGCAGCGTCAAGAAATCCGGCCTGGACATTGTGTGCGAGATCACTGACCTGCAACACATCTCCAAGGCCATGGCCGTGCTTAAGGGAAGGCCGAGCCTCGTGATATTCTATCTTAGGCTCAGGCATAACAACCTGCCCAAGTTGCAGGGATACGTGTTTCTCGGGCTCGACATACGCCACCTCACCATTCACAACAGTAGCCTCGCGGTGCTCGAAGAATCTTCCCTTAGTTCTATCGGTGAGTGGTACGGATCGTCTTCGATTACAGCGGAGTTTAACAGAAATATCAATGGGGCACGCCAAAGAGAGCTGAACATTTTCATTTCGTTGCCAGAGAAAATAGCAATGTATGAAATCCATGTCATTTGCGTTTCGTCAAAATGTACAATGTAAGATTTAAAAAAAACAAGATGGTTTATAAAATCAATTTTGTTTGCAAAATCCGAACTAATTTCCTCGAATCAACAATTTTGTTATGCTTTTATCTTTGTTTTAATTTCATCTCAGCGTGGCCTAGTGATATTTACGATATTAAGGTTTTCAAATTATTTTTGGAAAACCCATTATGCATTACCGAATGTTGAATTTACCTCAATAGAACTGCGAAAGGTCACATCACGAAAGTATCAGTTACACACAAACATTAATTACATACGAAGCTAAATGTTATAACAAACTAAATACTAAATATTTTAATATCTTTGACTTGAAAAATTATTAAGATAGTAATTTTTACATTTCACGATAATTTGACAAGTAATGACCAGATCATGAATTTTTAAGTAATCTAGTACATTCACATATTCATGCAAATATTCAAGTTTTTAGAATCCTTTAGAAATAATTTCTAAAGAAAATTAGAAAAGTCAATTCATGATTAAGTTCGCTCATGAATATATCAGCGGTATTCAACGTTCTAATTTTTCAAAGCACATCGCGGTCAGTAAATGAGAAGTAGTGAAAAAAGCTAGTATTCCACGCGTCATATAATATTTTTTCATTCCATGTAATATTTTTTTACGGCGTGAAACGATGCTTTAACGGTGTGTCCTCAAGTGTCAGAAAACTTTCATGGGCGATTTAAAGCCAGTTTTTTTAAATAAATTAAAGCCAACATTAAAGCACTCAATCTGTCACGCAAGATCCACGTTAACGTCGTAAATTTAACCCGCCTTTAAATCTTTTACGAAATCCCGGACTCACTCGATTGCCACGTCGCCTTTACAGCCATCCGGATTCGGAATAAATTACTATGAGAGACTAGAAAATACGTTCTTTTTACACCTGCCGTATTCAAGTTACGCAGAGATAACCGCATCGCGTGTACCGGGAGCTTAATGAGAATGCGGCACTGCGAGGCGTCTCGGCGCGACATCACTCAGTTGCATTAACTTGCAACGTCGAAAGTACATTAAACATAGAAAACGTTATTTCCCAACCGGTTTCGCGCGGGCATCGTGCGTTTTACAGCAAATTAATTATATATAAAATAGGAAGGATCCGAAACTTCGTGCTATTAGTCGCTGCGGCATTTTATGCTCTGCGAAATAACCATTAACCAGTTTTCGCAAAACGCAAAGCAATTTCAACAAATATATAAATAAAATTCATTCTTGTACGTGTGTATACATATGTAAATGTACCTACGTAATTTCGAAGTTTTCTGATATATATGTATAATGCAAATCAATTCTTTTAATTAAACACGAGTTTAGCTAACGTTAAAATAATTTTTAAATAACTCCAGTTTTTTCAATAAAAATTCAGACAGCATCACATTTAAAATTTGCCTTCTATTAAAATGTGCCTTGTACTAATTAATAACTAGAAATAATAAATTCCAAACTTATACGCTACGTTTTATATATTAAATATATATTATTAATTAACCAAGTAATTTTTATGAAATAAAATGAATCTGTGAAATTATTATATTAAATTGGACAAATTCTCGGAAACAGGATTGGTCAAATTACAAGGTTTATAGAAGCGTTCTCGCGAATGCAAACACGGAATCAAATAATACACTTCCTTACAGGAACGGGATTGACACAGCTGGATCTCTCCCAAAATTCACTGAGTATCGTTCCATCCGTCGCGTTACGAGACCTCCACCATCTCCTGATTTTGAATTTAAACCGTAATAAAATCACAGCCCTCCACAATAGTGCTTTCGAAGGTCTCGACACACTCGAAATCCTCACCCTTTATGAGAACAAGATCACCGGTATAGAACCAGATGCATTCAAAGGACTCGATAAGTAAGTCACTCTTTACTGATTTTATAAACTCTAAGTTACAAACCAAATCAGAAAGCTCTTTTATCCAAAAGAAACTGAAAAATATATTTGCTTGGTTAATAGCTTAGAATAATTTATTTTCTAAATTTTTGTGACTTTACCGAAATTTTACATTATTATAAGAAGCTTCGAGTAAAAAGTGAATCCCAATATTTCAGCTTAATTTTAATATTTTTAATTTTCACGCTTTTAGCCGGAGACTCAAAAGACTTAACTTAGGCGGAAACGAACTCACGAGGATCCCAACTCAAGCTTTATCTTCGTTAGAATTGTTGAAGAAATTAGAAATGCAAGAGAATCGCATATCGACCATAAAAGAAGGAGATTTCGAAGGTAAAATCAATAATCCATTTTACTTTATAAGACGTGTCTTATTTAACAATTCAGTTTCTGCTGATCCCATTTTGCGGAACAATTGTAACTTTAATTAAACCAACTTCTTTTTTTATCTACTATATGTATTCAATCTGCATATAAATAAAGCCCTTTTATAAAATGAACGCATAACGAGCATTTCATACAATTAAATGAATGGGCTCATCGATAAAACGTTTTATCCTTTCAGGATTGAAAGCGCTCGATTCATTAGGATTGGCGCACAATCACCTTCGTGAGGTCCCGGCGCGTGTATTCTCTCACTTGACGCAATTAAATTCTTTGGAACTCGACGGAAATCAGATTACCCACGTGGATGCCAATGCGTTCATCGGTCTTGAGGGTAAGTGTAGTCTAGCGTAGCTGTGTTTAACTTGTTAACCAAGGATACACGAACACAGCACTTACGTTAAAATGACTAAATTGTAGCACGTCTGATATCAATACCATTTTTCATCCACTGCTTCTTTTAAATAAAGCATTTAAAAATCTAACAAAACATATATTTATACGTGTAACAAATTGCTACGGAAAATATTTTTATTAACAATGCGCAAAGGAATAATTAACGCTTGTGCGTTGTTCTGCTTTTTAAATTAATTATACAGCATACAGTTTAAACTTGTATACACTGAGTGCCCCGAAATTCAAGGATAATGAAATTGCAGCACGAAAGTTCGTGAAAAATTACGTGATAAAAATACATGTCATTTTTAAAAATAAAGTAGCATTTTAAGTATAAGACTTTAAAATATAACCAATCATATGCGTTGGTTAAAGAGTCATCTGTGTATCGTACGTGCAATGGTATTAGATGTCGAACACATTCGCGATCATCGACAGATGACAGATGACTCTTTAACCAATGCTTACGATTAGTTTTACTTTAAATTCTTACATACTTAAAATGTTGCTTTATTTTAAAATATGGAATACAATTTCATTGTTTAAGTTTTTACGAACTTTCGTGCTGCAATCTTCTTATCCTCGAATTTCGGGACACCCTGTATATTTGTTTATACTTCTATGTATTTGCATACTTTAAACTTGTATGGATAAATCGTCTTAATGCCCGATTTCGGTGTAGCCGCAGAATTGGTGTGCGGCCTCGTGTTCAGTTTACCATAAAATTTCTGCAGTCTCTGCAGATCACGTTCTACTTTATTTATCGTGGCGAACGATACAACTGCTTAGCATTTAAATCTACCGCATGCTATGGCTGCTTGCCGGCGAGGCAATCGGTTCCCTTTGGGAACGTGGATATAAACGAGCGAACGACACTTTACAAACTACCTTTCATCTTGCTGCATCCTATGAACACAAGCTCGACTACCAAGACAATATTTCGACAAAGCATTGTGTGAACGTACAGCATCGACAGTTCGGTCGAGCAACACGGTTAGCTTCGCAATCAATAAGATAAATAATTAAATCAGACGCGAACGCCTGTTATAAATAAATATTAATAACATATGAATATAGTGAAGAAAAAATTTTTTCCATATCCTGTTGTGTGGGGAATAATTTTATACAATAAAACGCAAAAGCAAACAGATATCAATTGCAAAGCGTTTCTGTAATGTAAGAATATATTGTGCTTTTATTTATACCAGTGTATTGAATAAAGTATTATATTATAGCAATATGTGTTCTTTCGGTGTATAAAATTATTCTTAACTATCTGCTAAATATTTTTCTATCCGTAGTCCAATATTTAATTAAAATTTGTTATTAGAAGCCCATCCATTTAGAACTTTTCAATCATGTATTTGAAGGATCCAATTAAAGCTCTTGAACGAAGTATTTGATTCATGCTTGCGTAAATTCTTCCCGATTGATCGAGTGTTTATTCATCACTACGAGTAGCTTGATTTAATTATAACTAGCTACAATTCATCGAAAGAAGTTCGTTTGAGCGTGTCGTAACTCTCGCGGGCTATTATTAATGTTCCTCACGTAACGAAGCCATGCACTGCAAGTTAGATTGCTATCACTTTTTCTAATATACATATTTCATATCCATGACTATTTTAATTACGTTATTTGTGTCATCGTACGAGAAAATCAATTTGCCCCTTTTGAAAGAAGTTAGTGCACCATGGAAATTTTTACGAGAGAATTTCGAATTACTGGCTTTATTTTTTATATCTTAAACATACCAGTTTTCATGTTTTAATATGTTTCTTCCGCCATAATTTTCAATCTTTTATTTTAGAAAATCTACAATATTTACGACTGGGAGATAATAATTTGCATTCGGTACCGAGCGACGCTCTGCGACGTTTGCATCGCTTACGTCATCTTGATTTGCGGTCAAATAACATCACTGTACTTCCGGAGGACGCTTTCACGGGCTACGGAGATTCCATCACTTTCCTTAATCTGCAGAAAAATATGTAATACCGCTTTCTTCCACACATATACAATTTGGAAATTTAGATCGAACAGCATTTCAATTTTTCTAATATACGTGCCCAGCATTCTACATTATTACGTAATCTTTTCAGGATTAAAATACTCCCGCCTCTGGTATTCGAAAATCTCAATTCGCTAGAAACTCTAAATTTGCAAAACAACAGGCTCACACATATCTCAGAAGAAGTTACGGAGAACATCGTTGATACTCTACGTCACATTGATATAACAGGTAACATATCATTTTCCTTTTTTCCAACATTTAACGTTAATCTTCTTTCAGTCGAATATACGATAATCCCGAAGCTTTTATTAACCTCCTTTTGTCTGAACTACGTTTATAGTATTTAAGCGAGTGCGATATATTTCAAAAGCCATTGATATCTTCTTTACTACATAAGTCTTAATGAATATCTAAAGTGATAACCGAATAAAATAACGTCGTTGAAGCCAGACTTTTATCGAAAGCAGATTTCAGTAGAAGCCCCATTTATTTCGCACGATGTGATTAATTTCATCTTTTCTCTGCTCCGTTTTTTTTTCTCTCGCGCAGATAACCCTTTGATTTGCGACTGCGAGCTACGATGGTACGCCGCGTGGCTCGGAAATTTGCGCGACAAGGACGACGAGATGATGTCGAAGAAGCGGTCAGTCTGTACGATGGTTGCGGAACATCGTGAATATTCCGTGCAGAACATCCCCCTCGACAGGATGGGCTGCGCGGGCAAGAACGCCGGGAAATTCTCGTCGTCGTCTACTGGGTGTAGAATGTACGTCGACGCGACACTACCGCTGGTAGTTCTTACTGCTGTTCTCGTGTAAATCTCGCAAGGATGCGCGGTATCGTGATAACAGACGGGCTCGACTTTTCGTTTCGACGACTAAGAATCGTACTTGCCATTTTCAGCCGTTACTGAACTCGAGACAATTGCTGTAGGTCATTATAAATCTTCGATTTCGTTACTCGATTCTAAAGACGAAGGAAGTGTTTCTCGCTTTTCGAGGTAATCGTGACGCGATAGCGGAGACGCGTCACGATTCCACGATGGCTATCCTTTTGCAGAATTTGTGAAACGCCACTTTATCACGTACCATCGCGATAATTTAGCACGGTTCATGGTAGACGCGGCCTGTTACGGAAACGGCGCAAGGGAGTTGCGACACGAAAAATCGGCGCGTTATCACGATGCCCGTTTGTCACGATCGGCTGTGTCATAACAAGATTTGAATACTGGCTGACGAAAGGAACCTCAAGCATCTAGCATTATTCGAACGGATTGCTACGATCGAAGCGACTGGTAGGAATGATTGATTCCTTTGCCCCTTGGGAGGCTGCTTTTCTTATTTCCCAGAAGGCACGCGAGGACATATGTCTGTTTCGCGTGCGGAAAGGTACATTACATGCGTATAGCGATGGCTGCTTTTCTGTGCAGACACGTGTTCATGCGATGCGATCCCGCGTGGACAATCATATAGCGTTTGGCAAATCGCGACAATCGATCGTTTAAAAATTGAATATTCTTTCAATTCTCCCGGACACTCGCCGGACGTTTCCGCGATCTTTTCTTTCCCGGTCGAATCGTCGGAAATAGTCCTTGTCGAACACTTGGTTCGATCGAGTCTTCAGTATGAAAATCCATTTATTGCCCGCGAGAAACTATTTGGATTTCAATCGAATCGACACACATCTGAATTCCTTTTCGGTGCCATTTATGAATTACTTGATACCGTAATGAATCAATTTTCGTGACAACGTTTGATGTCCAGCCGTAAGCCCAATTTATTCGCTGCGTTTGATCAAGGCCGTGAAACGCAATTCGTGAAAGTACAATGATCGTGTTAAAAAGTTAATCGTTGCGGCAAGACAGATCGCAGTAAGTATCACGAGCAATCCCTTCAATTCCCGCATGTCGAAATGATAATCACAGACACTGCAGGACCGCTAGATATTAAAATATAACGAGCAGTGCGCAGGAGATACACGTTTGCTATGCGATGGATTTATTTCTAATACTGTCATTGTTATTTATAGAGCCCTCAGATGCTTTACGATCGAATTGCAATCATAGCGAACAATCAGCTTGCCGCTTGTGAATTCGTCGAAAAGACTTCCACCGACTAAAAACTACAATAACAAAGTGCAGCAAGATGCAACTCGTTTTATGTAATTCGATGGTACAGAATCTGAGCGATTGCTAGGAACAAACGTCGATCGCACGATCGAACAGTGGACCGTAGAATTCTCGCTCGCGAGGAGCGCACGAGTTTTCTTCACCGGAACGTTACATATCAGCATCGTTGCCAATTATTTCGTGGTTATCCGTTAAGCTCGCGAGACGTAGTCTACTCACTAGCGGATTCGAGTGGCCGGAAGTCAGATTTCGGGCCACTCGTTATATACATATCAATGCGTTCCTGTTGAACACAGCGCTGCGAATAATCGACATCCTCCGTTCGTATTCTCCGTGTACCACGATCTTCCAGGACGGCATTATTTATCCCTTATTTATTATTCAACGTCCTTTTCACCTTAGAAATTCGCAGCAATTTTTTAGATGGCTGTAACGTCTTATATCCACCAGAAAGAAATTGTCAGAAAGTAGGTCAATCGACCATCTTGCTTAAATATGTTATGTCATGAATGGTTCTTATTGATCAAGACACGTTGATTAAGGTATAGAACGGGTCCATTAAAACGCGAGGATTAAAAGAATAATACGATACTCTCGTGACATACATCTTTTATCAACTTTTCTGCCAGAATGTTCCCCGCGCGGTAGTCGCTAACATCTTGAGATCGCCCCAATACTTAACTCGATTCGCAAAGACCCGACTGCGCGAAATGAGATAACGACTGTGCTGATGACACGTAATACTCCCAACGATACTCTCAACAGGAAACCGACACTTGTCAAAGCCGGTAGAGTACAAACGCGGTTATTCAAACGCCTCGTTGCGCCCGCTTTACGACTCGGTTACTTCGCCGCCGCGACAGTTCACGTGTGCCCTGAAAATTGCGTCATCTTGTAGAAGGAAACGTATGTGACGTACGTGTTCGCGATGATCACGAGACACAAACAATCGTTGGAGCATGATATCCGTCAGTTGTGTTTAAAATATTTCTCTTCTCTAAGAATATTCCCCGTACGTTCGGGAGATCGTGGTACACGAGAACACATTTCGCGCGTTTCGCTTCGAAAAACGTTCGACGAATATATTCAGCGATGCATATCCAGCGACGAACGCGTTTCTCAGCGAAGACGTCCGTGCGGAAGATCGATCGATACAAGAGACAGAGAAGTAGTTCACAGGACGTAGTGCTGATCACAGTGCTAACGCAGAAAGTAACATGTGTTTTGCTATTCGATACGTATGAAAATAAAATAGAATTAAGCCTAAGGCATTATTGTAAGGCGCATACGCCGCACAGCGGGATATTTGAGGTCACCGGTATGCGTTACTCGGCGCGTCAAGATGAGCTTTCGAAAGGGAATTTCGAAGCTGAACGTTTCAGAGGACATCCGAATTTTTGGGATAACTGCTAAAGTTTCCTGTTACCAATGTTTTTTTACGTATCAAATATTAGAATCTTTTTTCTAATTTACTAAGTCCGTTACTTCAGCAAGCCAGTACGAATTTATGTAAACAAAATAATTTTTATTGAAAATAACAATGAAATATTTTACTTAAATTTTTACCTCGAAATAGAAACGGAAGAATTATATTGTATTACTGTAAGATTTCACCTGATTTAAAAATAAATGTTAAAATCTAACGAGCAATGGCGTTTTGCACTTATTTTGCTTATGTGTCGCGCAAATTATTAAACATTCATGGCTTGGTTAATGAGACCGCTGGATCTATACTCTGAAAAAATTCGTACGATTGCTACAGTGATCTAATTCCCGAGCTAAGATGATGATATCACAATACACACGTACACATATCATTTATACGCCCAAGTCTACTTGTAAGATAAATTGATTAACTAAGTCGATTTAAGGCTTGACGAAGCTATAACGACTAAAGATCGTATACATATCGTGAACGTACGAGGTTTAAGAGAATTTATTTGTTAACATATACATATATTCATATATGTATATGTACGTTACATATAATATATATATATTATTATGCATTATTTTACAATTATGAAAGATATATATTATATATACCTATATCTCTTATATATACATATATGCACTAGATGTTTTTTCTAAGAAGTTATATTGATAATAGAGTATAAAACTGCCGGGCACACACTGGCGTTGGAAAATTTGGTTTCTACTTAAATCCGCAAAGTCCACCTTTATTATTTTACCCACACACTTTGCTTTGTTTTATTGTCAGTTGTAAAATTTTTATTTTTATATGAGATCTGAGTAAAAGTTCGTGATTGCTACGTCAAATTTAATCTTAATATATTGAATGATAAAAGTTATACGATACGCCGAATGCGATCCTCTGCAGGCCCTACATTTAGCTTAGGATTCGTACGAGGCATATCTGATGTCGATGTTTAAATCTTCTTGTTTTGTAATTACATGCGAATAATTCACATTTGCGATTAACTTAACTACACGCAATTATGATTATTAAGGAGAGAAAAACGGCAGCGTGTAACCGGCAGTGAGTTATAAACCAAGTTGATAGAGACGAAAGTAAAACTAGCGAAATAGCATAATTACCTGAGTCGGAAGTTTGGAATATATATTGCTGTTAAAAAAAATTGCGGCCGAGAAATGTGATGAAAAGAGCTCTTTTATATCGCCTTTTAAGCATTTTGTACTTCGATTATTCTCCTGACAATGTTTCGCGTTACTTGACATTTTGTTCTCTTTACTCTACACATTTCTCCTATTTCTCAATTTCTCAATATTCTTTTACTTAATTGAAACTGAACGAAGATATCGTGGCAAAAGTTTGAATGGATTATTTGCCCGCGCGTGCAAAAGTTTGCTTCATCGAAGAACTTCCGGCTCGAATGTTAGGACATATCTTTAGACAAGTTTTAGAAACAAAAGTGAAAACGGGAGTTTGCGCGACTCTAATCTTTTCCGCTGGATACCATACGGCGGTATACGCTGTTAAGATGCTCTGTACATGACAAGGCACTGTACAATGCACTCGTACAATGCATACAGAATTGTCTACACGTTTTATGCTTCTACTCTAATAATAACTGCACAAAGTTGAGAGGCGAAATCGCGTTTCCAAAGTTCTAACGTTTCAACGGGCATTGTACAGCAAAGAATACTTATCAGCTGCCGCATCGGCCGAAAGGATTAGGCACAGATCGCCGGACGTCAAGCCCGCAGAACCATACGAGACATATCGCTGGGTGCCGGCGCTAGACTCGTCGGGCGCGCCGATTTATTATTACTAATTATTATAAGCGGATATTTTTGTACAGCGTCTTACAATGTGGTCGAATCGTTGCCGGCACGCCCGACGGGCGCACGACCGGCTCGCCATACTTACTTCATTTAATAAGCGCGCGATACCCTGAAGACGCGTAAACGCGTGTATGCGCGAACACGATGATACCTATATACATATATAGATATGCATACGCATGTGTGTTCGTTAGCGGGACGTGTAAACGAAATTATCGACGGTCCCACCCAGGATCTACCCGCGCGTAAGGAGGATAAACGGAGCTTAACTCTCGATCGAAGGATGTACCTTTGTAATCTCGGTGCTCGCTCACACGTCGCTTCTTCGCACGACTCCAGAAATCTCGTATCTGTGTTAACACGTTACCACCCCAGTACACACACGCCCACACCAAACACGGCATAAACACGTATTACAAACGCCACCTACATGGCCGAAACACGACACGTTAGTCTTACGAGCGTTTCATCTCCCCTTCTCTTCACTGTCTTCTATATAGATAAAGGACGCGTAATTCTTACGTATATAAGAATCAAGTCCGTGTGGGAATTAGATAAAAAAGAAGATTAGTTCTTGAATCAATGTACACTTACGCGTCTACGTCTTTCCGCATAAATGCTCTTAGGCAGAGATACGTATACCTGTACACGCATATCTAAACGAATACACGGAAACACGAGACTAAATCACGCCTAATGTTATATGGATGTTATATATATATATATATGGTTATAATATGACACACACATACACGAACTTCGTCTGTATATGTCTATACATAATGTTAAATATATATGGTCATTATATGATAACTATTACGTGATATGTATGTATTATGAAACATTTTTCCCTTATCGACTCGCGACTCGCTACTCAAATTCTAATGTCTATATGTCATTGTTTATTATGTCGTTAATGATTAACGTGTATATGTGAAACTTTCAAATGAATAAAAATGATATAAGCAGAAACGCTATTTATTGTTACCCTTATTTAATTTTTATCATTTACCCTTACTCATTTCACTTCCTATAACAGATTGCAAAAGTATATATATATTTTTTTATGGACAAAATTAAAACATCGATAAATTTAAATACATCGGGTTAAAATATTATTTTTATACCGAATACGTATTGTATGGTTTAACTGAGATACAAATACGAGACAATTTATCAGAGGTCCTCTTTAGTAACGTTGATGATCAATACGAGATATGTATCGACAGGAGCATGAGATAACATTAATCAATGTCGAGTGCAAACAGATTCTAGATTTGATGCCAGAACGTTCTAGGATATATTGGTCGAACAGCATGACGTAGTAATAGTATTTGGTATATTAGCAACATGTCAAAGGTGTTATGTAATTTTGTTCTCGAAGAGAAGATATTCCTGATCTTTAATATCATTTTAAATGCTTTAATCGAAATTATGTAAATGTAGAGAGAGAATTTAAATTAAACGTACAGCAAATCGTATTAAAATTAATGAAAACATAATTGCTAATGAAATATTTAACTTCTCGGCCAATTAATATTTTGCAGCATGCACAAAATTACACGAATAACATTTTACAAAGTTTTTTGTTACACCTATATTAATTTTCCTTGATTTTCTCTTTCTTTCTACCGATCTAAAAATATTTAAATATCGTAACAATCTGTAACAGTTATTTCAAAGTAGAAAAAATTTTAAAGGAAGCTATGTACCCGATGCAGTGTCTCTCTATTTCTTTATCGGAATAGCATATAAAGACTGTTTGCGCATATGCATTCGAGTCTATCTCCGAATCTGTGAAACAGATACTGATGAGCAGAGGTGTACCTAAGATATGGTAGGTATGGCATGTGCCGTGGGCGCTACTTGAAGGGAGGCGCCTGCTGATGAGCCACAACCGTATCACAACCTTGCCCGAAGGCCTGTTCGATTCGATAATTCAGTGGCATCCCTATTTCGGTCTGCCGATAGGTAACGATCTGTGGCATTGCGATTGCAGCCGCAAATGGATGCAAGATTAGAGATTACCCGCGTGTGAGAAAATCCCTGATAGCTCAAAAACAATGCGGTTAAAACTTTCATGTTCGCAATTTTTTACGATAAAGCTGTGTCGAATACAATAAATGCTGATATCGTGATATGTAACCGTGTAACATCAATAGCGACAATTATTTCAAATATGTCTACAACCATGTCTAGCGCTATAGATAATTCGTATTAGTTGCGACATTTTTGGTAACCAACTGATTTAATTAAATAATTCGAATAAATTCAAATATTCTCGACAACCGCGATCAATTTAACAGTACCGTTACGATGTGAAATTGCTCCACAAGGGAGGTAGAGAAGTTAAAAATGTTTTAGTCGTTCTATCAGATTTGCACGATCCTATCCTTAATTTAATTCATTATCAACGCGCGATCGGGCATAATTGGTATAAAAAGATCGATGCGATGCGTCAACAGAGTCAAGGATTCCTTTCGCCTACAGGATCTGCAGTCCGAAACAAATTTGTGTACACAATTTGTTCATTAAATAATATCACCTTCTCGTCGTCAAATTGGATCTAATTACATCGTTCGCATCCAAATTCTTACGCAAATACGATTATCACGCGTTAGCTACAGTTTTCTCAATATTAAGTTTCGTCAGTGTCGCTCTCATGTCACGGTGCGATGACACCGGCGATGTTAAGAAAAAGAAACTGAGTCGTGATCGTGAAGCGCAGAACCGTTATTTTAGTGCTTTCAAAAGCACTTCAACTTGCGCAAAAGCACTTCAACTTCCGAACGAATGTGCCACTGAAGACGTGATATCGGCTATCTCGCAAAACTTGAAGGAGAATGAATATGTCATATCGTTACCGCCAATACAAAACCTAATTCGCAGGAAACCTCAGAAACCTCAGCGTCGAGCATAGAGAGCGATAATACGATATCTCTGGTGTTAAAGCGATATTATCGTAGCTGAATTCGTGGAAGTTAAAAAGAGCCTTCAACACCAACCGGGAAGTCGAACCCACTACCCTTATCGCCGTTTCCGTATTTATATCATGCTCAATTATCGACGGTAACAGACATGAACGAAAATGATTCTGAGACGATTTAATATGCATGGTATAACATATTATGAAATTACTTCTTTTAGACTCATTACATCAAATTACAAGCTTTCTAATTTTGTTATAAAAAATTTTGTTTCAGAAAAATCATAAAAGAATATTGCAAATAAAAAAATATAGAACTGAAAAGGAAGATAAATATAATAAATATTTTTCTTTTTAAACTAAACTGTTTTTAAATTAAATTGTTGCTTAATTATTGTTTTAGCATACGTATTACCAAATTCAAATGTTCTTTTGCAATGTGTATTCAAATTTCAAACTCTATATCCTGCATGATGTTAGCTAATGAATATGTTTGGAATTCTCGGTTCACTTTGGGCTAAGCTAAATTTGGCTAACAGCCCAAAGTCAATGTCAGGTTCTGAGAATACATATAATAGATTACGTTAATAATATTGTGTGGTTGCAAAAGAATTGAGAAAAATGAAAAACGAAAATCGATAACGAAGATATTTCTAAAAGAATTTGCAAACTAATCGACTATACTTTTTAAAATTTCTTAATTTTAGTACCAGAACATAATCACTTACATGGCGAAGTCATAATTTTATTTCAGTTATTTCTACTTTTGCATAGAATTGATTAGTTTGATTTCTGAGGGAACAATATATTTTATGTCAAAGGTAAAAATTAAAAAATAATTGAATTTGGAAAATTACAGACAAATACACATATAGATTTGAATTGATAAAATCAAGATGATCGGTGAAACCGTGCACTTTTAACTGTCCTAAATTTAGTGATTTGCAATGAGTCGTTTATTATGGTACTGAAGCGATTCCCCAGAATTATTTTTAGTGGTTAGATCAGTAGTTCGATTTAACGTCGAAGCTTTATCTGATTGGCTAGTAAGGATTATATATCGAGGTTAAAGGTAGTTGCCAGATAATTTTTTTCACGTACAAGCTGTCAGCAATCCACTGCAATTCTCTAAAAGGATGCAATGCCAAACCGCTATATGTACGATACGATGCAATGTATAACTGCTTTCACGTTCACGAATAGTTCGCTGTGCGGGGGAAGCGATAATTTCGCTATAACTATCATTCGCTATAAATATCATTCGCTATAACTAACATCTACGTCATACAAAGATAACATCAGATACGCTACAAATTCTTCCCTAGATTATAACACTTCTGAATACAAATCAAGTATTGATTATGTCTATTTGAAAAGGAAAACGTTTTAAAATAACAGATACATTAATTTCAAGTCGTTTATAAACTATAAAAAATGAACTCCATGAAAAAAGAGTCAAAGTATTCGATTACTTATAATTTTTAATGATTTGTTAGATATATAATTTTCAAAAAAATTCCCTTTATTTGAATAAATAGACTTGGAAAGTGTAAAACTATATGAATAGAAAGTAAGAAAAATTCTCGACGTTACAGTAATTTTTTTTACTAAAAAATGTAAAATTATAACCTTTACAAAATCTGAACGCGTGCCCATAACAATTAATAACGCCATGTAATATAAATTTTTCAAAGATATTTACATGCCAACTTAAAAAAATCGTATGTTCATTCAATTGCTTTAGCACGTTAATTGTTTCGCGAAGAGACAGTCGTGAAGGCGTCCTAAATCAAAGTCTTTTTATAGCGAGTTCGGTTCGAATGATTGCGATGATCTATTAACACCGTTTGTGGGTGTGTATCTATAGTATCGCGCTGCTAATTAGTTTACTACGGCTCAGTAACACTTTTTCGTCGGTGCAGTTAGCTGCATCTGAAAAGAACCCGTTAATCGTCCGATTTTGTGATTAATTTGACAGTTTTAGAAAAGTGAACTTTAACAACATGGTAATTATTGTGTAAATTTATGACAAATATAAAAAATTACCCGATTTAATTATGTGGTATTAATCGCGGAAAGTCTTTCAATCAGTGGTTTACGTGTTTTTGTCATTTAAATTTCTAATAGCTTCTATTTTGAGTAAATATTTCGTTATTAACAAGTTTAGTTCGATTACAGGAAGAAATTCAACTTAGCAAAGATCAATTGAAAAGTAAGTATACTTGCATATTAAAGCGCTGTTACTTTTATTATTGATATAAATAATATGCCATCAGTTTAAAATTATTGTTAGAGATTATAATTAAAATATTTAGTGTTGGACATATAAAAATTGAAGAACAATTGTACTGAACAGATTTGAAAATGGCATTTGACGCGTTCGATCATGACAAAAAAGGGTGTATCGGCACGGAACAGGTAGGCACAATTCTAGGTATGCTTGGCCACGAAATTCCAGCTGAAGAGCTTTCAGGAATTATTTTGGAAGTTGATACGTGGGGTAAATACATATTATTCCTAATCCAATATACAGGAAAGTCGATTGAAAAAGAAATCGCATTTTTCAACTGTCTCCCTGAGTAATAATAATATTTTATCATATTTAATTCAAACAAATTTTACAGCTAAAGTATTTGTCCAAATAAAAAATTATTTATTTTATTATTATGTTTAGAAGCCAGAAATGCGCGTTTGTCATTTATTGGCAAAAATTGTCAGAGTAAATTATTTTACAATTAAGTATATAATAGATTTAAAAATCTACTACAACTAAGAAAGTGTGTATATTATTACGTGATGGACACTAATAATAGAACAAATTTCTGGTTTCAGGAAGTGGTGAGTTAAAATTCGAGGAATTTTGTCAAATAGCGTCGCGCTTTCTCGAAGAGGAACCTGATACGGAAGCGATACAGCAGGAATTACGAGAAGCATTCCGATTGTACGATAAGGAAGGCAATGGTTATATTACTACTGATGTGTTCAGAGACATCCTTCACGAATTGGATGACGCATTATCTCCGGAGGAGCTTGACATGATCATAGAGGAGGTGGACACTGACGGATCTGGCACGCTCGATTTCGATGGTGAGAAATCTTGCGTTGTACACAGGTGTTAATTCACTTCGTCTTCCTCTATGCATACCTGACTAACTCAACGTTTACGTTACAGAATTCATGGAGGTCATGACAGGATAAATTATGACTTTGGCACCGCGCAGATGCACCATGTCGATCGCCCACGTATCGAACGAGTGTGCCTGTACAAACAGAGAAGCCGAAATCTTTTCGAAGTTGATGCTGGCAGAGTATAAGTTCGCTCGTTTATCACATACAAGAAAAAGTAGTGAAATTTATTTTGCGGGGTTGCGATGAAAGATGATCAAAGATAAATCCTAAAGAACTCTTAATATTTATAGATTGCGAAATGTCAGGTAGAATTCGAGAAAGATTTCGGGGTCTCTGAGATAATATTTCAAACTATAAGACCGACAATAATTGGTACTTTGAGATTTATACTGCTCTTACTTTGTCAAGATTACAAAACTGCTATTCTTTACCAGGATTTTGACATTGAATTCCCACTAGCTGTTAATTTAATTCAAATGTCGAAATTTAGTATATTTTACTATTTGGAATTATGTGTAATCATACATATATATAAGTAACAAATATATATATATATAATATTATAAATTTTAATATATATCGAACAAAATTAATAGACATCGATTGTGTCAAAAAATATAAAAAATAATATCTAAATTAATAAATTGTAAGGACGATAGCAGTATATATTTATTATAATCTTTAAACTTTAATGGGATATCAGATTACTTTCTTTTTCAAATTTCGAAACAATATACTAAGCATATGCATAAATTGTAATATTTATTATTTTTTATATAACTTCAATATTTTTAAAAGAAAATTTAATAATTATTAAGAAGAATAAGATTTTAATTTCTGTTCAATTTTGACAATGTCGAATTGCAGTTGATGCTAACGTTTGGTATATTGTTAAGGATATATTGTCGTTTTTCTAAATATACTTGCTATGGGCGCCAAAAAGATGCCTATGCTTCTACAACTCCCTGTAACAGTCTCACTATATTGTAAAAAATCTATTATAATTATAATTACTATCGACACAAAAATTCGCACTTGAAAATATATGCTCGCGTGTTGGCAACAACGGTGGCACGTGCTTCACACACATCAGCCGTAACATTATATGTTCGATTCAGTGACAGCAACATAATCTATTGTAAACTATTGAAAAGTTGCGAAGGCATGTGCAAGGAGTTTGACAATGCATGGCAAGCGACTGTATTTCGGAGTAAACGGTAAAATCGCCTAAATATAATAGCAGCCACCGGGCTTTATGAGCTTATAATTAGGACTCTAAGAATAAGACATGCACAATTATTGCATAGAACCGTCTTGGGTCTCAGCATCACCCATGAATCCACCGGCGGCATCTGTGCCAATTCTGTCTATTGTTACGTCGTCCACGCAGTCACACATTACGTCTCGTAAATTCTGCCATGCGGACATGTTGCAGAATTTCATAATGGACTACTTGTGCGGCCTCAATGACAATATAAGCTCACAAAATATCTCCGCGAGGTCTGGTTAAAAGATTTGCGACAATTTTACCGTAGTTTAAAGAGAAATTGAAAAAAAAAGTTTTAATAAAAAATTACGAATAAAATTGCAAATGCTCGCAAAATTCGTATCGTTGTATGTTTCAATAAGAACATAATCTTGAAAAAATATTTCGTCACCTTTGAGCAACAGTTCATCGTGACTTTATATTAAGTAGATTAATTATTTTTCTGCAATATATTTTTAAGTTCTATTATGATACACTATCGTTTTAGATCACATATGCAGAAAAAAATTTGTTTAATTAATAAATTCATGTTGCATCGTAATAGACACATGTCATATCATAATAAATTATTCGTGTAAAGAGATAAGTCTCTTATATCAATACGCCGAAAGTTAAATTTTTATTTAAGAATATAAAAAAATAATGTGCATATATCTCTTGTACATACAATTACTTGAGAGATATCGCGAAGTTTTATGTGATAAGAAAAATAGACGTGGTGTATTTGTACATAATACCACATTACATATTTGGCAACATAATTTTTCTAAAATATTATATAAATTTCCTAATAATTTCAGTATAAATCTTCATTAATATATTTTTCAAATAAATATATAAAACTGCCAATTTTAGTTCTTAATAAATTTAAATTGCTTCTTAATAAACTCAACTGTTATAAGTATGTAAAAATAAACTTTAATATTGATACACCTGTATCTGGTTGTTATACCCTTCACGTCATAATTAATTATTTGCATCAAGATGAATCGCGTGCGACATGTTCGCATTAATCTTGTCAACGTAAGAGCGTCAGAATTTGGAACAGCCGCTGACAAATCGAAAGTACGACTGGTAGTGGTTAGGATCATTTTCGAAATTAAATGGGTTGCCACAAGTTCTGCATAATTGGGTAAAATACGTCGAAGAAAATAGAGTGGGGAGAACGTCCTCGATGAATTTGAAAACCGCTAGACTCGAGATGTAGATATTACCTGGTCAATCACGTGCCAGAAGATCATCGTTATGATCACTTAAAACAGAAGTCCACAGCCAGAATCTGGTGCATACCCGGATAAACCGTCGGCGTTAACGTACCACGAGCAGCGCGTATAGTTACCATCGCTATGGCAAGTCATACTTTTGATAAACGCGAGAATATTTCATAAGTTATAAGTCTTAATATCGGTAGCTATACAATTTAAATATATGATTAAAAGTCATAATAACATTTAATGTGATTAAACATTAAATTAAATAGAAAGTTATTTGTTAACCAAATTTAAATGTTGACGGTATAACAAAGTATTAATTATATTTGGCATTATATTATTAAATTTTTTTACTATTAAAATCTTATTTTTAGTGACTTTATTTTTAGTGAATCAATATCTTGTATAATCACATGTAATAATTAAGTATCTCTCATGCTTTCAGGATGATCTAACTAAAGACCAGCAAGCTCGTGAGTATATCTTTTATCATGAAAAATATTCAGAATAATCTAAAATCACGTTGCTAATCGAATATATCTCTGTACTGTGCAGTGTTGAAAAAAGCTTTCGACGCTTTCGATCATGAAAAGAAGGGCAGTATCGGCACCAACATGGTAGGTACGATATTGACCATGTTGGGCTACGAGCTCAGCGAAAATACGCTGCAGGAAATCATTAGGGAAGTCGACGAGGATGGTAAATAAAATTCCATTCATTGTTCATCGATCACATTCCCTATGCTTGACGGTTCATCATGTATACGTTTCTTGTACTGACAGGTTCCGGAGAGCTCGAGTTCGAAGAATTCTGCACGCTAGCTGCTAGATTCTTGGTAGAAGAGGATACGGAAGCGATGCAGCAAGAATTACGCGAGGCATTCCGGTTGTATGACAAAGAGGGCAATGGTTACATAACTACTGCTGTCTTTCGCGATATCCTTCACGAACTCGACGACAAGCTATCACCGGATGAACTTGATTTGATGATCGAAGAAATCGACGCTGATGGCTCAGGGACTCTCGATTTTGACGGTATTTTGATCATATATATCTCTCTTCTATTATTTCGCGGTATTGCTTCTTAACCTCGGGAAGCTATTGTTTAGACTAACTTTTAAAACTTATTTTTCAATTCAATTGTTCTTGAATGAACTGAAGCAAATATTTCAAAGTAGTTTGATAAAGTATAACGTTAGACGGTCAAAATAAGTATCAAATGTTAAATTATAGAAAACTTTTACTTTGATTCAACGTTAGAATCGTATCAGTAATGATTAAAAACTGTTGCTCATGTTCAAAAACTTACAACTGTACTATTAAGATAATATGTTTAAGAAATGCTCCAGATTGCACCTAACAAGCGTGATTTACGAGATACGATAATATGTGACACGCTTCGAAAGCCAAGTAGTTCATTTAAAATGTGCTCAAGTTACGAAGCCCGGAGCCAAGTAAATTTGTTTCGCGCACGTCAACGTCAGCGAAGCTTAACATAACCGGCACTAATAGCAAAGCCGATCGAACGTTCAATAAGTCTCTCGCCTTGGGTGGTTCGCCAAGTTTGTAGCTCGCGGGAAATGCAAGGCGCCGCCTGATTACGCTAACACCGACGCATTTTGCGCGCTTTCAGAGTTTATGGAAGTCATGACGGGAGGCGACGACTAAAGCAAGTGGAGCTGATAATGAAGATGGACACTCGGAGGCTGGCTGTTAGTCGCGCAATTGGCAACGCCCGTCAAAGAGAACGGTCTTTCTTCGTAATTCAAATGCTTTTGAAAACCATTAAACTATGGCCGAGTGGAAAATTGGACGTTTGCAATCATCCGTGGTATCGTTGGCTGACTTTCATCATGCAAAGTGACGATCACAACGTTTCCGAACGGTTCTAATCAACAACAGGAGCACTAAAACTCTCGGAATGCCTCGAATAAATTGGAATGACGGTTGTGCATTAGTAAACTAGCGATGCAAATTTCTTCGACATGGCGAAATGAGTACGCGCGCAAAGCTCCAACGTAATCTCTAGTTGATTACGTCGCGAAGAAAGTTTCTTACTGTATGAATATTATTACGAAATATTGATTTGAGATTTTGCACGTAAAGGTACGAAGAGGTCCAATGTGTAACATAAATTATACATATGTAATAAGTTATTAAATCATTAAGTATGCCTATATGTAAATATTGCGTACTTATTTCTTTTTACGCCCGAGTGCCCTGCGCCTGAACGATATTTCCCGGTGCGCAAAGTAGCGCAGCGCGTTCAAGTATGCGAGGCGCTACTTTCTTCGTAAGTCTCGACATCAATTGCATTTGTAACAAATTCTATAATTTCTAAATAAAAGCGAAATTGTTTCAATTGTAGTTGTTCAAATTTCAACTTTCTTGAAGATATTACTTCTGCGATGTTGTAAAGTGATTCAGTAATTAGATTCAAAATGACTGCGAGTCTCATACATTAATTTTAAATAATTCGGTAATTAAATAAAATTCAAAAATACAAATTTTAATTAACTAAATACGTAGAAATGTTATTGTCATACGACTTGTACAAATATTCCACAACGATTGCCTTTCCCCTTTTAGAAATAAAACAATTTTTATAATTACGTATACCATTTTAATTACCAGCAAATGTAATTTGATAAAACATTGTTATTAATTTTATTAAAATCTTTTTCATTTTTTAATGAGATAGTCGCATGTAGTACAAAGCGAAACGTGATGATGAATAAAAATGGTCTCACGCGACTAAAACAAATGTCCGTAATCGTTCACACCGATCACTAGCTGTCCGACCGGCATTTCCGTTCTGAAAATGAACCACGTAATAATAAGTATAGCAATAAACGTCGCGGCATGTGCAATCATGCTGTGAGAAACATTACCAAATCGGGTATCTGAAATGTTCAGTCACGAAATTATATCGCGATTCTCACGTCGTCGTGGACTAATCTGTTTCGCGTGAAAATGGCCGACCCATTTATTATAGAGAGAACTCGGATTTCGCTGCGAGCACAATTATTTGTCAGAGTCACTGAAACCAGAAGTGTCGTAACTTTATGTCCCGATGATCCAATCTTTTGACCTTCCGTTTCTTCTTACAGTCAATGAACTCGAACATTATCGTAATACGATTTCACTACATAATGAAGTAGATGCCATAAAAATATCTTATAATATTATGGGAGAGTTAATCTCTGTTGCCTGCGTATATTGCGTATTACACGCGATCTCACACGTGATAGACTCAAGTATTAATAAGATAATTTTAAGAACCGTTTTAATCCCATTATTACAATTTTGACAATGTTTCAATTTTTGCTTTTAAATTCTAATGCACACTGCGTCATTAATCACAAGCATAATTTCAACAAGTTAGAAAAATATGACTGTTTCATCTTTAGCTTTCTAATATCAAAATTAAAGATTAAGTTATTTAAAACTTAGTGAAATCCATTTATAGGATAAATGAATTGTTCGTAATTTAGAAATTCAAGAAGTATTAATAAAGAAAGAATTATATTTCTTTCACAAATTGCAGTTTTATATTGTTGAGAATCAATTATCGTGATACAAATGTTACATTGAATATAATCGTATACTTTTTGTTTTATTCCGGACGTAATAAATTCAAAGTGTAGTGCACCGAGCGTAGCTTATAACTCATAACTCTCTATCATAACTTGTAAGAGATTGCTACTTTCGTTAACAAAATATAACAAAACTAGAACATTTTGAATCTAAATTTCTACATTACGTTCATGACCTTGATTATAAGAGAAATATTCACTCTTGATCATAAAAGTAAAATAAGTAATCGTCATGTATCTTGTAATTGAAATTAAGCTTCTGCTTCACAGTTACTTGTATTTCCGCGCTTTTTATCTGGGATATTTCGGTAAACGAGGCGCTATTCGTAATTATTTATACGGAAGAAAAGTTCCTTTCACTGGTTTGGCTCGGTCAACCGATGACTATAAAATTTCTTTCGCACTTAAAATTGTGTAATAATCGCGGGGGAATTAAATGGCACTAACGGTCCGATATTCCACATTATAGAAAGTCGATATACTGAAAACGACATAATTCCTGCTTCCGGAGTGCAATAGCACGTGTTATGAAATAATAAATATGTTATCAAAGTGCGTATAACATTCGCACATCCCGTGATGGTGAATATCGCGTTCAGCGATCTTCATTTGAGCAACGACATGTAAGTCATATGTGATGGCGAAATCAGTATTTTCACCGAATGAAATTTCTAGCTCCTAAATCTTGCACAAACCGAAATGTATAATTCGTTCTGAGTGTATCCTGTAATCTGCTTTGTAAATATCACGCTGCACATGCGCTATTTCTTGCTTTTAGAATTTTAGATGAACGACGATTCTTTAAAAACTTTTTTAAATAAGTCATATAATTCCTTGGGTCATTACATCCACATATGCGTAAATTTACATTTTGCGCATAAGCATAATAATTTAATAAATTTTCCAATTATCCAAGATAATAATAACATATCGTTTATGAATTTTTGTTAAATTTTGGCTAATAAAAATTTAATAATGAATTGTATTTCTAAATTTACTCGATAAATCGCAACCGGTGTATATTTACGATCGACTGAGCCCATGTATTGGCGAAACGATTGGAAGTGAGTTCGATACGTGTTCGCGAAGAAAAAGTGCATCATGCCAAGAAAGCGTGCAAACGGCGCGCATTTGTCAAAATTTGAACCACGCTGCTGTATCAGTGCTGTTCGGTGAAAGTAAGCAGATTATTATAGACGTTCGCGTCTGACAATTTTTTGGCTAAGTTGACAAGAATCGGCCGCAAGAAACAAGGAGCAAATTAAATAGCCTGATTTACACCGTTACCTAAGAAGCTGTGGTTTATTTTTGCACTTGAGAATGAATTACATGAGAAAGTTTGTTGCGTGATAATTTATGAGAAAAGCAAAATTCGGAGTAAATGAATAATTTTAATTAGAAAATCATCAAAAATCTACGCTACCAATAATTCTCTAGATTTCTGTTAAACGTTTCTCATGACTATAATACCTGTTTGCACGATGAACAAGTGAATTTTCAATACAAGATTACTAAAATGTAGCACTGTATTGAATTACAACCAAACCTTATTTTGTTTTCTTCTAAATTTTTCTCATTCATGTGAATTGATGGAAAATATAATATATTTTTACATTTTCACGTAAATCAATACAACTGTTGATGAACTGCAGGAATCTTAAGTGGATTTTTAGTAATTAATTTCTTTAACAATTAATTTTAACTATAAAGCAACTTTTGTAGCTCATTTTAAATCGTATTTGACACCCTATAAATCGTTATCCAATTGCATCATAAGAATATATATTATTATTATGTGATTCAAGTGTGTTGAAGGCAATTATTATGCTTTTTCGCAAGAACGTCATCCGTTTCCTATTGCATAGAAAAACCGTGAGAATAAAATTGTTTCATCGATATATTCACTCGGACGTTTAAGAAAATTATAACTTAGTAATAATGTTTGTAATGACAATGGATTAAGTGATTTTAGAATTGAAGTAGTAAATAAAATGAAAAAATTCTTATTTTTTCGAATTAATTATATAATTAATTCCTGACAGAGGTCCATGTCATAAGAATTATTGTTATATCTATCAATGATAAATTTACATATTTATTACGAATAAACATAATAAATATTCCTGCATAAAATATGATACTGAGTTACACGTTATATTCATCATCCGCGTATGATGTATGATTTAAATTAAAGCGAGACTCGTTCGAAAGTAAGTTACGACGTATTTCTGATCGCATAATCTCCCTTACAAGCTTCTTCAATAAAATATCGGTCTGATTGCTATATGCCATTGATAAATTCCCTTTTAAGTATGTCACACGCAAATATGCGCCAAATTACGTGACAGCAAAACAACACGCAATTAAAAATAAATAAAAAAATATTTATGATACAGCGATACGCAAAAATCAACTCTAATTTAATATTAATTAATCTGGATTAAATATTTCTTTTAGAAATTTAGCATTTTATGACTCAATTCTATTCTAATTAAAACAAAAAATTTATTTTTAATATAATATAAACGCAAAAGTGCGAATATTGAGGGCGCTTTGTATCTCTGGGTCTCTGTATTGCATATTTAATTAGAATTTCTTTAATGTGAAACATTTCCGAGCGCTCTGTGAAAACAACCAAACTCTAGTCACATCGAAATTCTAAAAATGTACTAACTTGACAGAAGTGATATAACGCACCAGCACAGGAATAACGCACGTATGTACTTCTTCATCGCGTCGTGCCTAACGTCATTATGGTTATTCGCAATGGTCTCAAGAGACAAACCATAGCTCTCAGAAATGCACTACCGCGATTAAACGCTCGTTTAATTACGGTGCACGCCACGTTTGACGGGACTTTCTCCGCCAATTAGGCGCCTAAGTCGAGTCAGCTGCTGCGAATTCGATAACTGAGTTCATGTAGTCTCGGAGTATTAATCGACGCTTCCCGAATATTTTATCATGATATAGGTATGTAATATGCCCTTTTAAAAGAAAATATGTGTGTAATTACATTTCATTTGACAAGTTTGATTCTTCGCTCTTGTTATTTACATACTATTCAATATTTACCGCATTTTCTTTCATTCTAATGACTCTGACTCTTAAGTCTTATCTGCGTTACAGTCACTTCTATCTTTTCTCGTTTTGTTCTTTTAAAGTATTAAATTACTTGTCTCTGCATACATCTCTCTCATATCAATAATGTAAAAATAACATGCTTAAAATAGACCTTTGTATTTAAAAATGCGATGGAGTTGCAATAATGTCAATTTGACTAAACTTCAGATTTAGCTAAGAAGTATTGAGATTTGAAAATTGATTATTTACCATGTAAAAGGATTATTCTCTTAATGAAGCTTGATTTAAGATTATCAGTTGAATAATATTGAAAATACTTTAAGACGTCAAATTAATATATGTTCGCTTTAAATATTATATTTAAACTTTAATCAAATTTTAAATAAAATCTTTAAAATAATGTCGAGATTTAAAACTGAACATTTTATTACATAATTTATTTTAATTTTTAATGGCTTGTAATTATAAATTTCTAATATTTCCACATTTTAATTGCAAAAAAGAGTAA